TCCTAGCAGTTGACATTCAAGCTGATTCATGTTTCAGTGAGCATTTTTTCCAGTTAGCTGTCTCCTCTGTCAGCAGCATGAGGACGCCACATTGAGAGCACTGGGCCTGGGTGAGGGCTGATTTTATAAACATCCTGGCCTGTACACCTGTAGTCTCCCACTTGACTCCATCCCGTTCTTTCTCATGTCCCTGTAGTCAGTTGGAGAACACTTTATTCTGAGCCCAGTTTTGTTTTCTTTTGTTCTTCTTCAAATTGTATTCACAATTGGCATCTTTTCTCACTCTTCCAATTTCATTGTCTGGTGGCAAAGCTGTCATCGAGTGAATTAGGGGAAAAAAGTAATGTGGATGATTAAATTATAAATAAATTAAATTTAGAGTCATCTAGTCTGTTCAATTCTGGTGTACTTAAGGGCTAAACATCTTGAATTTAATAATATACTTATTAAGGATACATTTAATTATGGAGTTATAATTATGCCTTTACAATGCTCTTCTAGCTTCTTGCCACTCCAGGTTTTTCAAAGCATTCCTAATTTCTTATAATTATTTCAATGTGGCAATTTCAGAATAATTTTTATTCATTTCTTAAAGATGTGACTATGAAACAATTTTTGGTCCTAATGGTGTATTTTTCTTCAGACAAATGATAATACTGATATTCATAAGCTGAATCAAATACCTTCATTCATTTACTTAGTTAACAAATCACAATTGAGTGCCAAATATGAGGGTGAACTCAATATCAATCTTTAATAACTCGTATCTTGATTTATTTTTATTTTTATTTTTTTTAAGAGTCAGTATATAATCTCTCCCTTTAACCTTTAGCATATGTTTTAGGTTGGCTGAATTCAAGAAGCCTCAGCCTGGATACTTTAAAAACGTTACCTTTTGTGTCTTAGGCTGTTTGTAGAAATGAAAAAAGATGAAAACTGTTCCAACCACACTCAGATACCCAAGTACACACAGAACTTTTCACATAATTCCAGTGGTTTGATGGCCTCCTTGAAGCCCATTGGAATCTGCATACCCCAGGATAAGGCTGCTGTGGCAGGAGTGTTTCGTTTTGTCTGCAGCAAGTGCTGAGAGAGATACTAGGAGATAATTCTGGGAGGGTCTCTCCGATGGAGGTTCCTAATGGCCAAAACTGGACATGAAAACTTTGTACTGTAAGTTGTGGGAAGCCAATGAAAGTTTCTGAGAAAAGCAGGCTTCTATAAGAATGATCTAGCAACAGTATAAAATATAGGTTTAAAGGCAGGACACTGGGGCTGAGCAGGTAGGTTAGGAGATTTGCAAAATCTGGACAAGTAACAATAAGATTATAAACTAAAGTAAGAAATGGGGAAAAGGTGATGGATGTGAAAGAGAAAGTGATCTTGTGAGAATCAAATCATTAGATTATCTTGCCTTGACTTCTATCCTGAACTGAAAACCTCCTTGGTAGAATTTCCCACCGTTGTCACTGCCTAGGTGGCTACCCAGCTACTGAGCATTGCTGAAGAAGCACCAACCAATTCAAGAAGCTGATACCATTTACAGAGAATAATTTCCAAAGTCAGTGTTGTTCCAGAGGCTGTTTACTTGCTCCGTTTGGCTTTCTTCTCATTTCTCATTGTGGCTGGGATTTTTGTTAATTACTCTCTTTAGCCACCCTGCAACCCAAACTTATTTAAACTCTCCTCGATCTTTATTTTCTTCCCTCAGCCTCCAATAATCCACTTTACCCACTGCTGCTAGACCGAGCCCCCTGAAGTCCACATCCGATCTCTGCCATTTGTGATCAGAGATCTCAGTTCAAACTTGCAGTAACTCAGAATAAAACCTTCTGACGACTAACACTTCTGGATGTAGTTTTGATTCCACCTTCTTTTCTCCTCCCTAAAAACACTGTTTCATTTACTTCTCTGCCTCTTTCCTACATCTTCGATCTCTTACACTCTACTGGTTTTTGCAGCTCAGTCTACTGACCAGACCAAGTCTTCATATCCCCATCCTGGCAAATTTCCCTTCAATAGTTCTCTGTTACCTTAAGAAATAAAATACAAACTCTTAGAGAGACTTTGCAAAAAAAACCCTGTAGTATCTTGCTACAAAGCCCTTGTCGTTGATCTATCATCCTATTCTGCTTCTTTCTCTTATAATCAACATTCTTTTAAAAATGGGAAGTCTTCATTGTCTACTCAGTCATGAAAAGCAAAAACTTCAGCCGTTCTTGCTTCCTTACCCTCCCTCATGTTTATCCAGAAAGTTACTAAGATCTGTTGATTCTACCCCGGGTTGAATGTCATTCTGTGACTGCCCTACTTGGATTTTAGTCACTATCCCTCAACACAATTGCAGTGGTTTCCTTATTACTCTCTCTGCCACCTGTTTCTTCAGACTCTGGTTCAGGTTCCCATTGTGGTTACAGTAATATGTCTAGAAAAAACTTGTGTCCTGATTGTGTAGCTTTTCAATCAGGCTACTTATACTGAACCTCTGCCCTATCTAGACACTCTTGATGCCCTTTACCATGTTCCACTTTTTCTTTTATTTTTCTTCCAAAGCACATATCTTCTAACATACTTAGTTTTAATGTGTATTGTCTGCTTCCTACCCTGCCTCCCAGTGTAAGCTCCACCAATTGGTGCTTTTGTCGTTTTTATTCACCGGCATCACCTAAGCGTCTAGTATACAGTGGGCACTTTATACCTATTTGTGGAATGTAATAATGACAATTTCCATTCTCAAATTCTCATCTTTTTTTTTTTTTTTCTATTTATAGGATAAAACCCAAACGCTTAACAATACCTTTCAAAAGCTTACATGATCTGGCTCCAGACTCCTCCAGCCACCATCTCTCTCCTCTGGCTCTCTAGTATATCAGATGCTCGCAGTTCACTGGGTTTTTTGCAGTTCCTAGACATGCCATGCTCTTTCAGCCTTTTCTGTTCCTTTTAGGTATGTTCTCCTTCCAGGGATCCACTTCTCCCTTTTCCCCTTTTAGGGATAACTGTTCTTCCTGTTTCAAAAGCGAGCCAAACATTACATCCCTAGGATCGTCTCTGACACTACGAAGCAAAATTAGCTGCTCTCTCCTCTTTGCCTCCATTGAAATTTATGTGGTTTCTCATTTCGACAGTTTTACGCACTGAGCCCCTTGTCTCTAGACTCTATGCTCAACCATTTTAGCAATTCTTTTGTGTGTCTGCCCCAGAAATGATCAGTGTCTAGTACAGTATTAAGTGGTAGCTTACAATGATTGAAAAGAGGAGCTACTAGTATATCGAACTGTGTAATCAAAGGGTTAAGTGCCATCACCATGCAACATATCTAAATTGTTGCTGTCTTCACTCACAATCCTGTACCTCCCCTTCTTCTGTTCCCATTTCCATGAATGAAAGCGCCATTCCACTGACATGAATCTGGGCATCGGGAAAGATCTGCCTCCTCTCTCTCAGGCCAATTAGTCACTAAGCTCTAGACTTTGCTTCCCAGAAATCTCTCAAATTCATCTACTTCCTTTCAGTTGTGCTGCCAGTAGCCTTTACCAACCTGTCATCATCTGTCATCATAGCACACTGCCTGGCACATGGTAGATGTTCCATATACACTTGTTGAATGAATGAATCTCCTGAGTTTAACCCATTTCAGATGACAGCACACACGCTACCAGGCTGTAACATTGAGCTTCTGAGGACAGCCTATATTGCAAAAGTCCACATAATTTTTCTGAAAGACAGTGTTAGAAGTCCAATAGAGTGGTTTTAGATCAGCCACAACTCTAGATGTAATTTGACTTTCTGGAAAGGTGAGTCTCTCCCATTCTCTTGACTTTGCCAGAGAGGTTATTTTCTCTGATTATTCCTGTTTTAAAAATTTAAGTCACAATCTATTTATCTCACAGGGATGTATAAATTCTCATATAAGTTGGAAAAGAGTTGGTTTTATTTCAAATGATAAAAGTGGTCAAGGTGATTGTAGCCTTTAAGAAAGGGTCCCCAGTAGGCTTTATGAGTTTGCGTATCCTCAAATGTAAAATTACTATGGGGTTCCTAACTCCTCCACCTCTCCCTCCCCCGCCCACACCGAGAATCAGAGGATTGGTCCGTGGCCTGTTAGGAACGGGACCACACAATGGGAGGTGAGCAGCGGGCCAGCGAGCAAAGTTTCATCCATATTTGCTGCCACTGTCCAGCACCAGCATCACCACCTCAACTCCACCTCAGATCATCAGGCATTAGATTCTTATAAGAGCACTAGTCCCTAGTGCCAAAAGGTTGGGGACCGCTGGTCTAGATGGTCTCTAAAGCTACTTTCAGCTCTCAATTTCTAAGAATCTTTTTATTAGTAGTATTAAAACAAAACACTAGAAACAAGAGATTGAGAGAAATTAAGGCAATCATGAAATCTAATAAAGGGTGAGTGATTCTAAAATAAGTCAGTAACCCTAAGGTGGAGCCACTTATTCAAGAGATTCCAGTGCTTCTGCTGGTCTGGGTAAAGCAGGGTAGTAGAACAGAGAGTCGTGGGTGGTGGAGACACTGGCACTGGAATAGACAGTTGATAAATGTTTTCTCCCTTTTTTCTCAGCAGACGGTGTTATAGTGATCGCATCTGCCAAGTCTTATTTGAGAAATTGCTGTGCCGGTAGTTACACTATCATTTGACTCTTCTGATGCCTCCTCCCTGCTGTGTGGGAGAGTCTCTGATGTGTCAAGAGGCCTCTGTTCCTCCTCTTCCACCTCCTTTCCTCCTTCTCAAGCCCAAGTTAAGGTTGGGCAAGCTTCCTTGGGGTCTTCCAGATCCCTGGGGTTTGGCTGACTGTCCCCAGCCTTTAAAGCAGTTTGGTGTTGATGTAAATTCCAAAAGGCAAAAAGAGAAATGGGACTCTAGTCATGTGGTTTCTGTTATCTGTAACCATGGAAAACGTTGGCCATCTGTGAGGCTCCCATTTTAACACTTTCTCTCTCTCTCTCTTTATTTTCATCTTTTTCTCTTCGGGAAAAACAAGCTGAGGAAGTGGAGAGGCTGGCGGCGATGCGTTCTGACTCCCTCGTCCCAGGTACCCATACCCCACCCATTCGCAGGAGAAGTAAGTTTGCCAATTTGGGAAGGATTTTCAAACCTTGGAAATGGAGGAAGAAGAAAAGTGAAAAGTTCAAACACACGTCTGCAGGTAAGATTATTTTTTTCTTTATTTCTCACTGGACTTTTGTTGACTTCAACTCTATGTTAATTAGTAGAATTTAATTACTATAGGCTATCTGAACCAAAGAAAAAAATTGAGCCTTAGAATTGCTCTTGTCTTTAATAATTTTTCAGTATGTTTGAGACTGTCTTTTAGATCCTATGTGTTTTCTTGTGTCTCAGGAGTTTTTGTTTGTTTGTTTGCTATTGTTTTTTCAATTAAAGAACCACCACTTTTATATGATCTATAAATATCTGAACTTAGAATCCTACCTTTTCTATAACTGAATGCTTTCATTCTAGTGTGGACAGTCCATTTCTTATTTTTCATTTTTGTTTTCACTACTTCAGTAAAAATCAACACACAGTGGAAAGTTAGTTATATATAGTTGTTGGCAGAGAAGAATAAGTTATTTCATGGAGGAATAATCTTGAGTAAATGATTCTTGGACATGACAGAAAAACACAGGAGAATAGAAATGAGGCATCTTCATGATAACAAAGATAACTAACTATACAGTTTATAGCCTAGTGGACAACAAAAGAATTTGGGGCAAGTCAGCATGACTGAGAGGTTAAGAGCAGAGACTCTGCAGTCTGAGTACCTGGGTGTCAAGTCCCAACTCTGATACTAAACTCAATTTATTTAACTCTGTACCTCAGTTTCCCCATCTATAAAATGGGGTTAAGAATGGTACCTTATATGACATAAAATTGTGGAGAGTTTATGTGGCATATTGTGTGGATATTTTTTAAATGAGAAAGAGTTTGCACAGGGAACCACATAGTGAAAGAGTTCTGATTTCATACTATTGAGTTTTAGTTGAAATGATAGAAGAGCTATGCAGATTATGTTTGTTCTGATTTTGCTAATTCTGTGCTCAGGCCATTCCAGGTCTACTCCAGCACTTTTATGTGCTTCATCCTCTACATCTTCGAAAACCGAACTCTGAACTGACTCTCTCTCCTCCTCAGAATCACCACCTCCTTTATTTCTTGGTCTCCTACCCTTTTCCTCATCCCCAAACTAACCTCAAAACAGGAGATGAGCTGCTTTTTATACCTGAACACTAGTCCACAGGTCTAATAATTAATGCTAATTGCTTTAAAAATGAAAGAGAATAACAAACATAAGAAAGTTGCAAAAAGCTTTGAAATCTTAAACAGTTCTCTTGGTAGACATTCCCAATCTGTGTTCTGACTCTGTTTCTTTGTTGAAAGGCCCAATGCCATCTAACTATTATAATCTGTTATTTCTTGAGATTAAAATGAACCTCTGAATTCCATGAATCTCTAATTCGTCACTCCGCTGACCTAGTCCCTTCACCTAACTGCATTTTTTCGTCTCTTGGTCACTGTACAGATCTGTTAAGGTGTACGTGTAGGTCATTACATTCCTAAACACTGCTGAAAGATTTACACAGAGGTGAAACTTTAAATGGATGATTCCTCTGAATCCCCTCCACCCCGGAGTGACACGGGAAAAGAACACTCAGATCATTGCCGTAGAGAGGAGGCATCTAAATGAAATATATTCTTTAAGCAAAGTGATGTGTAAGACGTGAACAAGAAAGAAAAAGGGAGTAGTCTGTGAGCACTAGAAAAAATAATAGCAAAGATTCCACAAGATCTCTTACAACGTTTTCTCTGACTTTGCTATGAAGAATGGTTTATAATAATAGAAACATACATTTAAATAATTGCTGTTTATCAGCACGAATCCATGAATGGTGGTATGGTAGATGCACTTCCTGCTGGCAAATTGAGAGCTTTGTTTAGTCCATTTGGTAAGGCCATAAGGCAAAGAGCGCTGATGCTTCTCACATGAAAAGCCACTTGATCAATTATGCCGACTTTTTCAAGATTTTGGAAAACTTGTCCTCTGATAGATGCAAATAGAGTGGCATCAAATTACTCATGAATCATTAAAAGTCTGAAAAAAAAATCATTTAAAACTCTTTGAGGAGAAAGAATTAAAAAACATGTGACAAGCAAAGTTGCAACTTTAATTATTTAGATCTTTAACTATTCTTAGCAAGTTACGTATGATCTCTATGGCCAAATTAATTTAATTGGCAGCTGAATGTGATGTTTGTACATAGTTTTTTTTTTTTTTAAGGGATATTCAGCCTCTGAACTGGAGGATATACTATGGAATATCTTTATATTATAATAGATGAGTAGGTTCATGATATAACTGGAGGTATTCTTTTTTTTTAAAAAAATCAGTGGTTTACACTGTAGTATCCTTTGTATTTAACTGGATTCAGAAATATTATTTCTTATTTTTGGAAAGGAGAGACGTTCTGTGCTAGTTTTTAGCCTAAGGGAGAAAAATATTGATGACATAAGGATGTTTAACATCATAAATTGCATGCATGGTCAAGTAATAATACTTTGAATTATAGACTTTCCTATGCATAGATAAGAGTCAAACATTAAATATACAAGAGGATTGATTGATTATGAGAACGTTAATTGGTTGGCCAGTGTTAGCTGGTATGGCTATATTTGTCTTGTATGTATATGTATGTAATGTCCTTTCATATGTGTAATAATGTTCATAATTTTAAATGCAAAGAATAAGTTCATATCTTACATTTATATTATGTATTTGTATTTAAAATTGTATGATTTTTTTAACACAAGAGAGAACATTAACACAATGCATACTTGGCCTATTATTATTGCCATAGTGAGTTATGGTTACAATTTGCCATAATTAGCTATACTGTAGTTTTACTGTGATTCAGACTACAAGACATATGTGTCTGTGTATACAACACCTTCAAAGATATACCCAGAAATATTGCTTTGCAGGTTATATAGCAATAAGAAAACTACATTGGAAAATTATTATCTCAACATTTTCCTCAATTTTGGCATCAATAATTACCATATGAATTTTTCAAAGATAGTTCTCCACATCTTATGCTGCTCATACATCTTCTATTCCAAGGTGAAGGCCAGTCTCTTTAAAAGCCCTTTAGCATTAAGACCCAGTAACCAAGCTTTGGATGGTGGTACCTGCACCACAAGACAAAGAATTTCTCTCAGAAGCATCCCCACATCGTATGTCAGTAGGAGGAAAGCAGTAATGGATAGAACATAAAATAATGGGTCCTCAAGGAGTTGATTTTGACTTGCTTTTCAGCCTGTCTTCAGAAGTTGTGCCCAGGCCCTGGGGAGCAATTATCCCGTTGCCCAACTTCTTTTGTGGAATTAGCAATAGATGTCCACACACATCCCCACACCTGTGTCAGGAACAAAAACAGATGATAGCATCTCCTTCAAAGTAGAAAAGACAGTGCTTCCTCAAATAGTCAGCTACAGCCATCTTATCTAAATTCCTTGAAAATGAGAACTGTATTTATCAAAAAGTAGACCTAGCAGGAATAAGCTGTAAAGATATCACTAAGTTATGCTTTTATTTCCTCTGAACAGAAAACCCTAAGCTGCAGGAGTGAGCCCTGGAAGTCTACAATATGCCAAAATTCCCTTTGTGCTTGTAAACTTCCTTGCATACCTATGCCCTGAAGGGGTGGAGGAGAAACCTTACTGAATATCTACCTAATGCTAAAACTGTACCTGGCTCTGGGAATGTAGCTGTGAGCAAAACCAGTCCTTGATGATCTCATGGCCTGCATGGTATAGCTGGAGAGGCAGAAGATCAAATCACAGGAAGAAAAATGAGGTTATATCTGTGATAGGGCAGGGAAGGAAAGGTACTTGGGAGAATGAGAGAGACTTGACTCCCTCTGAAGAATCAAGGAAGCTTCCCTGAGGAAGAGAAGTTTGATCTGAGGGAGATGTAGGAATTTAGAAAATGAGCATTCCAGGCAGCAGAACAGCATGTGCAAAGCCCCTGTATAAAAGAAGCAGGTGAGCAGTCTGGGAAAGCAGGAAAGACCAGTGGCTGGAGAAGGGAGAGCTGGGAGTATCGTAGGGGCTGAGACTGGAGAGATAACCAAGATGGGACATTTACTAGGCCTGTGTCCTGTAGAATAAATTAGACAAGAGTGTGAGTGACTATAGATAGACCAAATAGGAGGTCATTTTTCTGATGATAACAACTTGGACTAATATTGGGTGGTAGAAATGTGTGGATTTAAATGCTGTTATAAGGAACGGGTGACAGGGCTTAGTGACAGGTCAGATGTAGGAAGGAAAAAGAGATGTGTCACAGTTGACATTGTCATGTTGGTTTAGGATATATGGTGAAGGCCTTTCCTGGGATGAGTAGTTTGGGAGAGTGACAAGTTTGGAGGAGTTGGGGCAGGACACGGGTAAGGGGGAGATACGATTACAAATTTCAGTATATGTTTGAGTTGACTTTATGATAGCCAAAGTTGGCAGTTGAATACATGGAAAGCAAAGGAGAGGACTGGGCTGAATATGTAAATGTTGGATCATTTGCATATATATGTTAATTAGAGTGATGACCATGTATGAGATTGGCCAGGGAACAAGTATAGAATAGAAAGAAAAGAGGGTCTAAGATAGTCTAAAAGACAAAAAAAGAGTATCATCACTAATGATTAAATGGAGGAAGGTGAACCTGTAAAGAAGGTAGAAGGGCAGTGGTTAGAGAGGTGGGAAGAAAACCAGAAGAATGTGTTGTGACAAGAGCCGGGAGCAGAAAACGTTTCAAGGAAGGTAGAATTAACTGTGTTCAGTGCCCTGAAGAAATCAAATGGTGTACAGAAAAATGTCTATTAACTTTAGTGATTGTGATCCACTAGAGGTCATTGATAACTTAGCAAAAGCTGTGTGGGTGGATTATTTAGAAATAGATGCCAGATTAGTATGGACTGATAAATTAGTAGGAAATAGGAGGAAAAAATGAGGATACATTTTCAAGCAATCTGGCTGTGAAGTAAGTAAAAGAGATAGGACAAGGATGCATGGTAGAGGAAATGTGTGTGTCTCTATAGGGGCTTGTATGTGTGTGATTTGATTAGCAGGAGGCTATCTGCTTGCTTTCTGATT